GACTTTGGCCCAAAACAGTCACCACGTCGTGGCCAGCTATATGCCACGTCGTGGTGTTGTGCAGATGCGCGTTCCTCACCAATGAATGCCACATCATGGTCCACCTAATGCCACATCGTGGCTCTGAAAAATCCAAAGATATGAAATGATTAACTCATGAAAAGAAACCTGGAAAAATAGATGTTACAAAGGGAGTTATTGTTCAACAATTGAATCAGTTGTTGATATTGTTCTTGTGAAATTGATTTAGAATCACCATAAGAAATATTATGAACTTTGTATTTGACCTCATCTTTCTTGTTCTTTGTGAAATTGAAGCTTGCAGGAAAACCATTAAAGACAATAACATTGAGCCTTTATGTGCCCTGATTTCTTACAATGATTGCATGTTAGCAATTTGCGAGAAAAGTCAGATGAGATTTGTATGGCAATAACATCATTCGAGAGAGTTGAAAGGAGATTGATGCCACGTTGTCATTCTTTTTGTATGATTAAAGAGTAAGCAGTCGAAACAGAGTGCATGAGCTTCATTATCAAAATTTGACCTCATATGATTTTGTGTGATTCATCATGTCCTCTAAGTAACTGAATCAATCGTAGATCTTCAAAGAACTTGTGAATTGTAACAGAAGCACCACAGGTACAACTAGGAATAGATTGAATCATACAAATTTCATCCCAAAGTTTTGTGAATTTAGTGAAATAATAGGAGAAGTGATCAACACCTTGAGATAGAGAGTATAGCTGTTGTTGCATTTAACAGATGAGAGCACCATTAGATTGTTCATAACGTTGATGTAGTTCTTGCCAAATCTCTTTTGCAGTTGGAAAAAAAGAAGACTATCGACAATGGTTTTTGAAACGGAATTTAAGATCCAACTGGTAACCATTGAATTTGCATGGAACCAATTAGAATACATAGGAGAATCTGAAGAATGCGGAGTAATTATTCCATCAACAAGTCCAAGTTTCTTCTTTGCGAGATAATCATCGATCGCTTCTAAGAATTGAATCCAATGCCGATGAAGATATTTGAAACAAGAACAAAATTTGGATTGTTTTAAGATCCAATGTAAAAAGGATTAGATACATTGATCGAAGAATTAGCTTATTCATTTGTTGCAGAATCAACCATGATGAATGAACAAGAAATTGAAAGTAGGAAGAAGATGATGAATACTGATGAACAAAATTGTTACACGTCTGATACCATGTTAGATTATAATGAAATGAAATAATTTGTGTAAATCAGTTCTCATTACTCAAAGAAATTCAACTATAAAAGGATTACAAACCATGAAAGATAAATAACTACTCTAACAACTTTCTACTTCAAAATTGTGTAAATGCCCTCACAATTACAAATGACTAATAACAGAAATAACAGACTTGTAATCCAACACTTTTCGTTCAAGAAGAAATAATTAAATTTCTAAAATTTTCTATTTTATTGTAATGAAAATCAGTCCTCTTCATTATTGAACTTATTAATTATCTAGTTAGCTCTCATCAATTACTAAGAAGCAAATTAAATATTTGTTACTTAAAATAAAAAATAAAAGACCAAAAATAATTACCTTTTTATTGCAATTAGTCATTAAATAAATATGGAAATATAATAAAGTATTTAGAAGTAGAGTTTAAGTTAAAGATTATTTCTTATTCATAGGGAAAATGACTAGGAGGGTAATGAATTATTGTTTTTAGTCATGTTCTTTTTATTATTATTATTATTATTATTATTATATATGTCATTCAATTTGTTGAAATTAATCACATATGATGATTTTTGCGCTCGGATGTTGTAGGTTATAAGGTATTATTTGAACATCTTCAACAAGTTGAATGATATATGATATATACAAAAGAAAAATGAATTAAATGTGAACATCAAAAGTTTTTTTTTTTCAACATTCTTTCTAGACGATTTATAAGGGTACTTTAGAGTTTTTATTTTATTTTTTCTTTTTTGAAAAATATTGTGTAGAAAAAAATGATATCATAACATAAATGAAAAAAAGGTAAAATAATGGATTTTCATGGGTTGGAAGGACATCACATCATATCTATATTTTCTTATTTTTTTTATATAGAAAAATAGGAAAGACCATTTACAACATATCAAAGAAAAAAATTACAAAAAAACAAAAAATAAAAAATAAAAAATAAAAAAAATTGGTTGTGGGTCTAACCCATGAAAATCTCAAAATCCATTGTTGTTTTACCTTTTTTTTTTCTTTTCTGTTACAACGAAAGTCAAAAAATAACAACTTAATACCAAAACAAAAATTATTCTACTCAAATATAAATGAGACACGACAAACATAACGATATCAACATTTTTTTTACACAACATTTTTCAAATAAAAAACATAAAATGCCCTTATAAATTGTCTAGAAGGAACACTAAAAATAATTTTGAAAAAAAAACTCTTGATTTTGTTAATATTTAATTTTTTTTACATCATATATCATTCAACTTGTTGAAGTTGTTCATATATTATCTTTGTAACACATAGCATCCGGACATAAGCTAATATGTAAACAGTTTCAATAAATTGAATGATATACTATATAAAAACAAATAAGAACAAAAACAAAAATTCATTAACTTGATGAATCATTTTCCTTTTATTCACATTATGCCCGCTTAAAGTTTGTCATAATTTCTTGATCAAATTTAGACATAATAATCAAGTGTTCTATAGGATTTAAATATATTATAATCTAAAGTAAAGGAATTGACAAATAAGTCATATTTTCCATTATATTATGTCGGTTGTAATCAAATTGATTCAAGTTATAAGTAAATAATAATATATTTTAATATAACAATAAATAGAGTGATATATTCTATATTTTTATTTATAATAGTAAATTTTTTTCATTGTATTGGTAACATTATTAATATTTTTCTTTACTATAACAATATGTACAATCAAATTTATTGTTTCATCATATACAACAGTGTATTTACATTTGTTTGTTTAAAAAACATACAGTTTTTTACTCATAATAATAATAAATTTAAATATATTTACTGATAACAATATATAACCTAACATACTAAAAAACAAAAAATATTAATAAACTTAAACACAATCAATATTAATAACCCGACTAAGTACGTTCTCTTTTAATTTGATAAGTTGTCTTAAAACAATTCTGAATTATAAGGGAATGGTAGGTGAACATATCCTAGGTTTGACTATTAAGATACAAAGTATATATCTTACGAAAAGGACCAACATAAATCATGGCATGAAATAGGGTCATCGAAATATTTTCTTTGGTATTCATAACAAAATATATATGTTGTCTTTTTCATCGTATATGGTCATTTAAGTCTCATGAAAAACTGCATTGATTTCTTATTTTGCTTAAAACTAACTCGAGGAGGTACATTGAAAAGTTTTGGAACCTTCTTGTTTAATTAGAATTAAACTTAAATTCCCACGAAAAAGGGTGCATGATGATCCAAAGGTTGTATGCTAATTAAACTTGGATTTGGAAACGAATCTTGATAGATACTGTCTTAAGTAATATTTTGCCCTTTAATTGTTTGGATGTTACGAACTTTACAGGGTGATTATATTCAACCGAAAAGACAAGTTCTAGTTTAGACAAGAAACTGGAAACGAGTGACTTACTTCTTTTAAATGTTAGCCATTGAATGATCATACCATTTGTTTGTTCCTATTGACCTTAGAGTGAAGATAATACGATTGTTTCTTTATAAATGAAGATCTTAATAGATGCTACAAGACTATTACCGTTAATATATATTGTTACACTTGTTTTGTTTAATTGTCCAATAGTTTAGCCCATCCATTAATATTGATCGATCGATGTACCACAGCTTAGCCGATGCACTTCCGGTCTTGACATTCACTAGATTGAATATCTCTTTCATTGGTTAGCATATATGTTTATACATGCACGATCCTTAAGAACCCCATCTTCATGTTCTCAAACACATTTTGTGTTACCTTCGTGGTACACTTGACCACGGCCTACAGTTACATGCCTCGTCTCGGACCATCCTCATTGCTTACTTTGATGCCGACTGAGGGATATCTAGTTACTCGCTAATCCACCTCAGGTTACCTTATGTTTCTAGGGGACAACCACATTTCTTGGTCCTCACAACGTCAGGGATCGAGTTATATCTCATTCTAGTGCGGAGACAGAATATCGCGGAGTGACAAAGACGGTAGTCAAGATATGTTGTATCTGTAACCTGCTTCGAGAACTCTGTTTCCCCTCAACGAAGGCAACTATTGTCTACTATGACAATATCAATGTTGTTTACATGTCCTCAAACCCGATGCAACATCAACATAACAAACATATAGAGATTAATATCCACTTCGTTTGGACAAAGTCACTCTTTGTCATGTTCTGAGTTCTTTATCTTTATTTTCCTTCAACCTCTGAATATGCAAACATATTCACAAAGGGTCTCCCTACATTGTTATTTTCATATTTTCCATTCCAATTTGATAAATGTATGTAAGTCTACTCTGGACCAAAGTGTAGGGATGTTAATATATATTTGTTATACTTGTAAATTGTCTAATAGTTTAGCCCATTGTTATTATAAGACCCATGGCCTTATTCCATGTATTTATATTTGTGTAATCATAATTGAGAGACAATCAAGAACCATTTATAATACTTAATTGGTTAAGTAAATTGTCTAATTGACTGGTTAACTTTTCTTTGCAAATTATTTTGTAAAATATATTTGTGTCATGCCTTGTTTGATTAGTTAGAATAAATTACCTTATTCTTATTATTATTATTATTATTATTATTATTATGTAACTTAATTGGCAACTTGTTTGCTAATTAAACAACATATCATCTTCTCAATCCTCAAATGTGCTTATGGTATCTTGTATTCACATATAATTGGTAGTGATATTACAATGATTAATCTTTTAAAAAAATCCCATTATATATTTAGGTTTTTAAACCTAAAGATCAATTCTAATTGTCTATGAATGTGCATTTGTTATTGTTCTGATGCTTATGAATCAATATTATAGGTGTTATGCATTTTTATAAACCAATTTACCATCTGGTACGTATATATAATATCAACTCTAATCTTCTTCCTCATTTCTCTCCATAATATTATAACAACATCAGGTACGCTCTTAATCAATTATCCTTCATCTTTACCTCAATTTAGGGGGAAATAGGTTTTAATAATCATAAGATTCAACGCATTTGATCCCATTTTCCGGGTTGTATTTTATTGTATGATGTCCACATGCATCCTTACATTCACAGGAGATTAATCTCGTTGATTTGATCCTTCATGTTCATTTTCAGCTACATTTTCTCGTTTTTTATACGATCCAGTTAGTTGATTAAGATGTAATTGACATGAGAAAAACAATTGAAGATTGTATTTTAGGGTTCATGTGACATTTTCCAATTTTTGTTTCTGATATTTTGAATTTTCTGTGGTGAATAAAGCATTTTGATCAGATATGGAAGAAACGGTGTTTACACCTGCAATAGAAGGAATGAAGCATATGAAGTCCGATCATGGAGAAATCTTAACTAAGCCTTTCTTAGACGCATGCAAAACATTGCTGCCTATTCTAGGTGCGAGCTCTTGTTCAAAACTAGTGATTCATTGTGAATCAAAATTTATATTATGGTTTATTAATTTGTTCATTTTTACCTTTAGATAAATTCGGAGCTTCCATGGCTGTTGTAAAATCCGATATAAGTGGAAACATTTCAGTAAGCTATACATTATGTTTTGTTTTTCCAAGTTTATGTAGAGAATATGTGATGTTATACTCAATGGATTCATTTATTAATCTTGTAGAGATTGGATTCTAAGTATAATGAAAATCCAACTAGATTCAACTACTTATATGCTTTGGTTCAAGCTGAAGTTGAAACAAATACTGCAAAGAATTCATCAAGTTGCACCAATGGTCTTCTTTGGTTAACAAGGTACTACTAGTTTCTAACTCGATTCCAACCCAAACATTACAGTTCAAACATAAATATGCAAAGGAATGGAATTCAATTCCATTCCATTTGGTTTTGTAGAGCAATGGACTTCTTAGTGGAACTTTTCCGTAACTTATACCAACATCAAGATTGGTCAATGCAACAAGCTTGCAATGATTCCTACAGCAAGACTTTGAAGAAATGGCATGGATGGATTGCAAGTTCAAGTTTCACTATAACTTTTACCCTTTTTCCCCCATCAATTTACATTTTTACCCGACTTTAGATCATGAGTTGAAAGTAGGGTTTTTTTTCAAGTTATATAATGTGGTATATGAACTTTGATGTGTAGGTTGCCATTAAGCTGGTTCCTGATAGGAAGAAGTTCATGGATGTGATAGCAAGCAAGGGAGATACATATGCTGACATGGATAAATTCTGTGAATCCTTTTCACCAGTTTTAGCTCAGATTCACAAGTTCCTGGTAAAAATTATATTCATGTTTTTTTTTTCATTTATGCAAACAAGGAAATGATGATGCGCTTGGGAAAGTTAAAAGATAAAGTAAATGATGTCATGATGTCAAACTTGTAAAATGGTAGGACTTAATGGAAAACATTTCATTTTTTTTACTATATTCATTAAGTAGTTATTTCTGCATTAAGTAAAAAAGAAACTACCATTTATAAATTACCATATTAAGTCTAGTCCATTAGTAAAAATAAATGCAACAAAAGGATAAACAATTTCATTTATTTGTTTATTATATCACCCTAGTTTCATTTCAAAATTACAACATTGTAATTAAAAAAACCTTTCCGGTTATAGCAATGTCATCAAAATACAAAACAATTTTCAGAGTTATAATTGGATTGATTTTTCAAAGTACAATGTCTTAATAAGGTAACAATTGCAGGTGTAATGTTGTGATAGAAAGAAATGAAAGTAACTTGTTGTAATAAACAAGTAAATGAAAGTATATTGTTATTTCTTGCATTTAACCCTGAAAAACAATACCCACAAACTTGTCAATTTTGTATCTTATACAGCAATCTTGCGGTTTGGATTCTATGAAGGCGACATGATGGAATAAGTCTCTATGGTCTATTGAAACCTTCTTTTTGCATCAATTTCTTGATAATTTTTGGTTATCCCCTCCCCTAGCTTCGATTTATTTCATTTTTTTCATCTAAATGTACTCTTTTAACTAGAAATTGATAAATGAATTTGTCTTTTCTTGCTAATATGTTCATTTTTAGTTTAACACATTGATCGTGCATGAGTTTCTCACGTATCGTTTGAATTGTTGTGATTTTATGGGGTCTTATTTTGCTTTTAAGACCATCTGCAGATGACTTTTAACTTGCCACATAGATATATTAATGTTCCACATAAGCTCACTTCTTGTAAACTGTGAAATGTTTGCAACATGATTTGTGGGCCCATCAACCACTAACTTCATCTTTTTTCAATGTTTAAAAACCAATCAAATATTGTGTCATTACTTTCTCTTTCTAAAATTGATGAATAGGCTAAGTGGCCCACCATTTGTAAGGAGTTAGATATTGCACGTGTATGGATGCTCTAAGTAGGCATTGATTATTGGTGCGTATATATTTCATCAAAGTAATATACTAACTATTAACTTTTGATAAATTTAAAACCATGGTAAAAGTTATAACTTTTCATCAATTTAAGACCATGGTAAAAATTATTGTTAGCCCTAAACTTAAGTCTTAAAAAGGGCTCACATAACATTTTATCTAAAGTACAAATTTAAAGAATAAACAAATATTCAAGATTTCACAAATTTCATAAAGGAAAAATGTTATTAATTCCAAGATTCCTATAAATGAATATATTCAATAGTTATATAAGGTGGAACTAAATTTGATAAAGATTATCAAATTTCATAAAATTAAAGCTAACACCAATTTATTGAAACTAAATAGCAGTCTAATCATGTGATATAAAAAGATCAAGAAAATAATATGGATTTACAATTAAAACATAAAATTTTAAACTTGGTAATATATATACCGAAATAAGGGGAACTCAAAATTGGATGTCTAAATAGCGAAATTTGCACCACGGGGTAGGGCAACCCGCTTTTCAAGAGCTTTGGCATATTCATATTTTTCATCAGTAGATATCAAAACTTCTAATAGATCAAATGTTATGTTCGTCTAAAATTGTGTTTTGTTTTTCAACCTTTTTGTCCTTCTTTAATTTATACATTGATATTTTTGCCAATTTCTTGATATGTTATTGATCATTATCCATGTGGAACGAGTTGTTATTATTAACAAAAAGAATGAGACAAATTTGAATCAATTTATTTTAGTTTTTTGGGCTAACAAAGTTGAAGATAATGCTAGACCTAATTCAACTTAATACACCAATACATAGAAGACAGATCACACTGTTGAGGTTTTATTTTATTTTTTGGCTAAATGAACAGTGGTTCTCCATCCCACATTAGTATAAGGATGAAAGTTTAAGATTATAAAAGGAATCCAAAAGTTTGGTTTCAAAAGTACTGTGACAACCGTCAATTTTTTGCCAAGTCAAAGTCAACTAAAGTCAACAAGTCAAACCGGTCAACTCATCTAACCCTTGTACATTAGGGTTTCCATTATGTTTCTTACTGTACAACTCGCTATTCTAATGAGAAATCATCAAATGAAAAGTTCGTATATCTAGATTTCCTTAACCAAAAACTATGGTAAGTAATGAACCAAAGCGATAAAACACTATTGCATATCGGGAGTGTGTAAGATCCTTAAACATGGCTTAACGGGGCTTACGGACCTTGCGTTGTGAAACCAAACACTCAAAAAGGTCACAAAAGAAGCCTCTCCCAATCTCTTTCACCCTATCTCTCTCTATTAAAAATCTCT